GCGCGTATGGAACATGTGCCACAACATTCTCTTCCCCCAGTTAGCGCAGATCAGACTCTTCCGAGGCACAGAGCCTTGCAGGGAGCTTCGGTGGCTGCAAACTCTTCCCAATCCAGGCTTGTTTCGGGGAAAACAGGTGATTTTACATCCCTTTGATATGGGTCTTAGCTGCTAATGATGCTAGGAAGCAAAAAGAAATGGGAACAGAAATACACAACTATGAAGGATTAAAGTAGCGCATTTAATTCAGTCAGTTCCAAAGAAATTGGGCTATGCCATGGAAAACAAACCTTGCACAGAAAACACAGAACACAAATGGGTTTGTCTTGACAGCTGATGAGAACAGCTGAGTGAAAAGGTGAATGGCAAAGTTCTGATTTCTCTGAAAGACAAAGAAGGTTCCACACAGTCTGCAAATGCCCTTTTCTCACTACAAGAGTTGGGTTTGGAGGCAGTGATTGTAAACGCTCTGTGAGGAGTGCAGAGGTTTGTGCTCTGACACGAGCAGTGATTGCAGATGCCAAACGTCTGATTTTCAAACAGTCAGATGCTTCCTTAAAGGAAAATCCAGAACTTTACAGACTCACAGGATGGTTTGGGTCGAAGGGACCTCAAAGCTCATCTTGCTTCAACCCCTGATAAGGGCAGGGACACCTCCCACTACACCAGGCTGGCTCAGAAGAGCCCCCAAACCTGAAGAGCAACAAAAAATCTGTCGTGTTTCAGAACCATAAGCCTGATTTTTGCCCAGTGGTCCTGATTTTGCGCTTCAGGGAGATGCAAGCCCCGAGCCAAGGAGGCAAGAGCTGCGTGGAGGGAGCAGACAGGACAGCCTGGCTCGGGGCTCAGCTCCCCGGAGCACTGGAATACTTTTTCCAAAGCAATACCAAAAAAGGTTTGTTTTCAGGTCAGGACCTCAGCGCTGAGTTTTACCCAGGGCTGACAGCCCAGTCTGAGCACAGCTGTGCCGTGGGTTTGTGGGAGCAGCTCGGGCACTGTGTGTGTGCCTTTAAAGGTGAAAGCTATTTCTGCCATAAAAATTAGCACGTAGTTCCTCTGTCATCCCTCGGCTGCTGCGCTGGGAGCCAGCGACACGCAGATAAGCAGGAAGTGTAAACATGCTGAATTAAACAAATCCGTAGAAGGGGATGGGGTTTGATTTGTTTTATTCTCTGACAGTTAGGAGAGGAAGAGGTTAGTTTGACACTTTTTCTGCTAGAAAGCATGGGTTAAAAGGTCCACTTAAGCACTGACACAGACCTCAGCGGCACATAAAAACTTGAAGTGCTTTTAATAGCTGCCTTTTCAAAATGCTCTTAAATCTATTTTTGAGTTGGATAAACTCAGCCACCAGAGAAGCAGAGCAGGAGTTTTCGGAAGGGCCAAGCAGTGACAAACTGTTGTTTGCTTCTTACCCACTCAGCTCCTGCGCAGGGACCCTGAGACAAAACCCAGCACAGTGCTGGATGCTTCACAAACCTGAGCGTTGCTTAAATCCCAATTTTCCCTCCTTTCTCTTTGGTGGGAATCTAACCCCGACAGCCTTGAAAACGAACCCCGGGTGGTTTTTGGAATACAGCTCGGAGTGGCTGTTTCTAAAATAAAAGTGAGGGAAGAGGGAGCAGAACTTGGAGGCTTATAAGCACCAGTAATGCCCTGGCTAATCCCTCAGCAGCCCCAGCCCCTTTATGTAACCTGGGATTGCTGCAGCTCAGCAGCTTAGGGGGTCTGGGTGCTTTGCTTTCAACCTCTCGTGGACAAATGCAAACACATTACATACTTTTTTCTTCCGTCTCTCTAGAGAAAAAGTTGTGAGAGGGGGTGAAAAAATGTTTTATTTGTGAACGAGGGCAAACAGAATTAAACTCGTACGCTGACAATAAACTGTGTTTCTGATCCATCTCAGCTGAACAGAATCTTCCACATTTACGACATTCAGGTGTAACTCTTTAACAAAAGGTTGAATCCTAAATTTCTCCTCACTCCAAGCACCTCTGGAAGTGCTGGGGTGCTCCAAATGATGACAAACCTGCCAATGGATCCCATTCCCACCGCTCCTGTGCCGGAATCCCGACGTCCCCGCGGGCACCTGTGGCTCCCCTGGCCTCTCCCTGCCGTTCAGCTGACTGCTCTGACTTTCCACGCCACAAATCCTTCCAAGACAAAACTCAGCTTTCAGACTCTCTCTCTCCCAGCCGGTGCTAAGCCATTCTCCTCACGCTGAATGCTTACGGAAACTTCAGAAGGAGGAAAATAAACCCCCATTGAACTCCTTGCAATCGGAGACCTGAATGGGCTCGACATAAACCCCACTCGAACCGCCGGCAGCAATAGGCTTCCCTGGATGCTGGACTCGATCCAGCTTAAAAGTTTCCATGAAATAAACTAGGCTAAGCTCATCAGCTGCATAGAAACTAACTCGGTGTAACAGCAGCATCTGTTCTTCACATCCACCATTTTCTCAGAGCCCTAACTGGGCACGCTGGGACAGCTCCGGCCTGGCTGGACCAGGAGGGACAGGGATTAGCAGGGAGCACGCACCTTGTGTAAACTACTCCACCAGGTATCTTTTGTTTGTCAAAAAAAAAACAAACCCAACAAAGCATCTTGATGTGTTTGGCATGCAGGCAGGACAGAGGGGACGTCGCACCGAGACAGCTGAGGAGCACAGCTCGGACCATTAACACACGGCACAAAGCAAATGTTTACCCAAGTACAGATGAAACAGGTCAACAATTAGCTAATGTGGCTTTGTGGACATAAACCAGGTACAGCCGAGCAGAACTGACATAAAATAAAAAGGAATTCCCCTACGCCACGCTACGAGCGCCGTGGTTAGCGGCCCGGGAGGCCTCTGTCACCGTGAAAAACCTCCCTGCCCGTGTTTAATGTGTTTATTCTACCGCTACACTGCTGGGATAAAAATACCAGCAGCCTGGCACTGCACGGGCCTCACTGCCAGCACTGCAGGAACCCACAGCGTGCAGCAATCTCACACCTGTTTACTGTAAGTCATTCAGAGATCCCCACTCTAAGCACACACTTCGTGTTGGCTTTGAACACTTTCTGTTCGGTTTTGCGAAGCTCAGGGACACCCAAACGTCACCTAAGGGTGGTCCCCCAGACCCGGGGGGCTGTGGAAGGGGTGGGTGGTGGTGTGGTGGGCAGGGCACCACGGGCATGGCCCGAGGACCTGCACACAGCTCAGCCAGACACTGGGAACAAAGCCAGAGCTACATAGTCTTCTCTACATTTTTGTTTATTGAGACAAACTAATTAAAAGGCACAAACATAGGGCATATGTTTACATGGACATTATAACAAACATATACATTAAAAGTGTAGGAATGTGTTTCCTTTCTGCTAAACAGAAAGTTCCTAAGCTTTTATATATACAAAAGTTGTACAATTTGATGTCCTAAAGTACAAAAGATCATTTATAAAATTATTTTACACTAAGCTCTATTATTTTTTTTTGTTTGTTTGTGTTTTACTCTGTAGTCCAAGCCCCTAGAACAGTTCCACGTGAGGATACAGATACCTGTCACCTGAGCAGCCTGGCAATCACTGCTCACACGGACACGGCCGGGCAGGAACGGAAGCAAGTCCACTGTGACTGGTCAGTCCTGCTAACACTCTGTGAAATGCACATGCTAATCTCCAGAGCTCTCAACTCCATGAGGATAAAATCATCTCCACTGTCGTGTTGGGTTTTTTTTTTTTACATTTTTTTCCTATTTTTTTTCCTATTTTTTTCCCCCCGTTTTGTTTCATGTAGAGTCTTGGGGTTTTAGGGTGGTTTGTTGGTTTGTTTGTTTTGTTTTTTTAAACAAAGTTTTAAAAATGTGAATATGTGACATGATAGTCTAAAAAGTATATCTGTTTTCCCTAGATTTTTTTTTTTTTTGCTTTCTACTTTTATGTACAGATAAACAGGTTAAGAAATAAAAAGCACATGTAGCTTAAAACATGTGTGACCATTCATGGAGCAGCTCTGGGCTGGACAGCTCAGCACCCCAGAACTGCCACAAACTGATAGAAACGTGTTAACACAATAGAAGAATAACGTAAAAATGATGATGTTTGCAAATATTTACAAAGTTGAACAGATTTGCACAACACTTGATTAAGAAATAGGGGAGAAATTAAAAGACGCTCTCTGCTTGTCCTGGAGGGGCATCCTACCTAGTTAGTGGTTAGAATAAAAACTGTATACAATTTAATATAAGACAAAACTCCTAGTGAACAACTAACACGTCTGGCCCTGCTGGACCCCAGCAGGCTCTGATTGGGGGGCAGAGGGCATGAAAAGCACACCCAGTGCCTCCGGAATCTTCCAGCTTAAAGCAGAATTCCTTACGGTTCCAAGCACTCCTCCTGCTCCTAGACAAGAGTCCCGTGGGGGTCTGACTGTTCAGAGACCATGTTTACACACCTCTCGGCTCCTCTTCTGTCAGCCATGGCTGTTTCTCACCAAACAGTAACAGTTTGTTTAAAAAAAAAAAAATGTTGACTACAATGCTCTATTCCCTTAGGGTAATATGTTGGGTAATATTTACATCTCCAAATATCAGGTCACAATCCCTATTATATGTCCAAGTTAGAATGATAAGTTATCATATGCTTTGCATATCAGAGCTGGTATCACCTTTCCCATAGGGAATGCTGCCTGAAATTATCATATTCCCAAAGGTAAAATGCATATTTTCTCCAAAAATGCATTTTTTTTTAAATGACAACATTGTAATGCATTTACTCCTTTAAAAAAAAAAAACAAAACATCAACACAGACAAAGGTTCTACACTAGCTCAGAAACAGTGGACTTGACTGGCAGGCTGAGATGAGCCATCCACCCTGTCACGGACACAGAGGGGTCTTTGCTAGTGTTTAGATTAAAATAATCCTCTAAGTTATAATTTGGGGGATAAAACATAAAACTGTTTTTTGGGTTTTTTTCATAATTACCTTTTTTTTTTCTCCTTTTTTTTTTTCTTTATAAAAACTCTGGCAAATAAGTATCTGCTCTACTTCAGCATCAGTCAGCTACAAGGTAAAACTTACTTTAAATGATGTGCTCCAGTGAAACTCAAGCCTGAACCATGTGAGCCAAATCAAAGGGGAAGATGCTACTGTGGTCTCTGATGGTGCTGCCCCAGTGTCTCAGTCTGAATTTATTATTGACTAAAAACAGAACAAAACGAAAAAACCCAACGGAAAAAAAAAAAAAAAAAAAAAAAAAAAAAACCCAACCAAACAAAAAAAAAAAAAAAAAAAAAGAACTGCTGGTAAGGATTCCATTTTCATCCTTTTTAATACTGTTTCGAGCTGGATTACCAGGGAGGAGAGGTGGGCAAGGCCTGGGGCAGGAAAGGCATGCTCTCCACCGGCCTCATGGCTATGTTGAGGGGCCCAGCCAGGGTCATGGGCGTGGGCAGGTTCATGGGGGACGTGATGGTGACGGGGTGAGCTATGTTCACTGGAGCAGTGACCGGCGTGGGCAGGTTCACCGGGGTGGTGAGCGTGAGTGGAGATGTCATGGACAGTGGACTGGTTATAGTGACAGGATGCCCTAAGTTCATCGGACTGGATATATTAACTGCACTTGATACATTTACTGGACTTCTCATGCTCATTGCAGCTGCCACTGTGACTGGGTTTGTGATAGTCCCAGAGGCCACAGAGGACGTTATATTGAATGGAGTAGTAAGAGTCACAGGCGTAGTAGCAGCAGTGGAGGTTTGGCACAAGTTAGCAGCTTCTAAAAAATGAGACATAAAAAAGACAAAAGGTTTTTAACACGTAAAAAAAAACCGTGGACAAGATTTCAACAAAACAGAACAGAAACAGAAATCAAACCCATAAACCGAACAACAACAGGTACAAATTCTGGAATAATCATTTTCTTTAGGAATTAGTAGTAAGTTAAAACTGTTAACATTCTATAGCCTCCAGGAAACACAAACTCTCATGCAGGTCATTTCAATTCAATATATTTGGGGTTTGTTTGTTTTTTTCCCTGAGAAGTCAAACGAGGTTTGTCTTAGCAAGAGGGTTTCCATGTTCATAAAAACAGCACTGTACAATCAAAAAATCCTCCCCAGAGGAACATGAGAAATAGAGGAGAGAGTGTACATACCGAATGGTACGTACTCTATAGCCTTCTCAAAGGTGAACTGACATTCTGTGAAGGTTTTAAAAAGTCATTATTAGGGACTGATAAGCAAAGCTCCTTTCAATATTCACCTGCTTATTTCAGTCTGAATCATTGCCACCAAACTGCTCCAAACCTCTACTTCAAGGCTACCCCAGCAGTACATCCTTCAACCCCCATCAGCTCCTCAAGCCTTCGCACAAGCTACAGCTCCACACCA